GCCCCTTCCCGCGCTGGCCGCGAGTGGCCTGCCCTGGCGGCCGTTAGAAACTTCGGACTTCAGCTCGAGCAGCGCTGGAAGCAAAGCCGGCGCCCTGCCAGCGCTGGCAAACCCCAGCACGCCGCGGCCCTCCCCGGCTGCGCTCTCCAGGTGCTACCGCACAACGTCCTGCACGCTGGCACACAGAGGGCTGCTGATCTTCGGTTAGTTCAGCCGAACGAGGGCTGCTCAGCAAGTTGCCGAGCGATACAAATTTAGCGAGACGAGCTATTAACATGTTTACTGTCCTGAAGAGTCGAGATTGCGAGCACCAGGATGTGTTTCACATCTGCGCTTCACCATAGCAAAACTCAGCCCCGTTTCATACAACGCTAAAACGCTGCGCACTTGGCATTTAAATAGCTCCTTCCATTTTTGGAAAAGAGATTAGTAAATTATAGAAGCAGCTATTTAACATTCAGGAAGTGTACCGCATACATGGGCGTTATCAGTCATTCTAGGCAGATGGTAAATGTATCTCCTTTCACCACAAACTGAGCAGCAAACATTCAAATTCATCACCAAGACAACATATTTAAATCCACTTCTATTTTCAATTCATACATTTTGAACAAACTGCTAAGTAATGAAAATCAATATTTTCATCCGAGCAGTTGGGAGAAGGCCCTGGAAGGTCTGCCCAGCGGTGGAGGTTGTCTTCTACATACTTCAGTCACACAAAACTATTCAAGACACAGTCAAAAGCGACACGCTGTATGTAGGTCAATGTTTACAGCTGAGGAGGCGCCAATCTTCCACGGACCAGGAAAGTATCTCCAATTTAATTGCACTTATGTATCAAGGTAGGGAGCATCGCTCCGGCCCTGGAACGGACAAGACTGAGGTGGCCTCAATTCCGTTTTCGTTGGAATTTTGATAGAGAGGGGGACTCGCACGTTTTCAGCAGAAAATAGAGGATTTTAGCAACTAAGGCACTTCCTGCATAGGTCACTATGCAATCTCAACCGACCATCTATCTTCTTTGTTAGGATAGTCGTGTAGTGACTAGTTAAGAGCATTACTTCACAAAAACTATATAACCTCAAAATTAGATACTTTTCTCGCAGAAATAACTCACATTGGCAACATACCGCATCAACTTAATACTCGAGAAGGCAGAACACACATCCATGGACAGGCAGACATGAGATACCCCAAATCACCACACTCGTAACAGTTCAAAGACATATCATTTCTCATTTTACTTCGAAGCAACAGCCTTCTAGAATACGCTAAAAGGAGCTATCGCAAAAACCATTAAGAAGAGTCCCAAACAGCAGGTACGCATCCTGCAACCACACGTAGGCGAGAAGGCATCAACCAATGCAATGAAAACACTCCACGCTTGTCTTAAGATAGAAAAATTTATTTTACAATTTTATAAAGCAGCTTTACATTAAGCACAAATGTTGATCCATTTACTTTGTATATAAACATAGTAGAACCTTTCCCTCTGCAAAAAGTCATGTCTTGCTGTATATAAAACTAACGTGCACATTGTGCTTAAACTGCAAAGTCTGTACAGCTTTACAAAGGACTACCCTTTACAAGGGCATCCTGTAAACAATTTATTGCATATTTAACACATGGTGTATATCCCACATGTAAAAATGTAGAAAAAATAAAGTACAATTACACGGTGAATGAAAATAGCAGCTTTCAGTGAATGTCTTGCACAATGGCCAAGAAAAACAGCACTGCCACACTTTTACAGTTGTGCTTGTGTGTCACTGGTTTGCATACACCCATGCGCACTATGCTTCCCATGAACTCTATATGTACAGTAAAAGCCTTATGGAAAGATTACACAGATCTTAGTCGCTAAGATCTTTGTCAGTTTGAAGGCTGAAAAGCAAAGGAATAAGAGATAAGTGAATTCAATGAAGTTATGGGCACCGATATCCAAAAATCCTCTTCCACTGCACAATTCTATTAAAAAAAAAAAAACAAACAGGAGAAATCCACACACTAACTCTCTTCATTTCCACTACCTCTGATGGCGGGTTGGTTTAATTTACGCATGTACAAAGGTCAACAAAAACGCAATCCAGATATTCAGGATAAGATGGTCTGACAGGACTTTCTTTGTTGGTGTTGCCAACTTATGCTTGTGCGCTAATCTGCCCAACAGCTATCGAGTCGATTCGAATGAAACACTGCAAGATCAGTGTTATTTTTAAGCTCTCCTTAAAATAAGAGGAAATTGCGGCCTCATTAAGGCACTCATACTGTCTCTTGAGCAGTACCCAAATATTCGCTGAATCAAAAATGGGCAAAAGATGGAGGAAACATGCAGGAGAAAGATGTTTCTCTGTTTGCAATAAGGACCAGTCATTTGTAAAGGAAATAGGTGTGTGTGTGCGTGCATGTGTGTGAATTTAAAAAAAAATTCATCTCTGCTAACTTTGGTATTGAAATTTCTCCTACGACATCCACTTTTCATACGAATTAATACGATCATATCGTGTGTTTGCAAAGATCAAGTAATCAAAGCCGTTTCATTTCTGTGAGAAATAAAAAATACAATAAAAAAAGAAAATCAAGATGTACATTGTCCATGTGCCCAGCTTTTCTGTGGTTTGAACGGACTTTGTCCTCAGTACGAACATCTTAAGCCACACCTAGAACATACAACATGTAATAGCATCAGTGAAAAAAAAAAAGAAAAAGAAAAAAGCTGATACATGTCCTTCTCGTGTTGGTAAACGTTTGCAGCTGTAGAGTCTAGGACTCAGAGAACAAACCTCAGCATGCATTAACGGAGCTGATAAACCAGTATCTCCTACACTACCAGATTAAACAATATCGGTCTAACGACACAACTGGTTGGTTTTATTTTTCTGGATCAACCAGGAATCTACATGTTGAAAAGGCAGACTAATGCTCGGTGTAAAGAATTTAGAGATATAAAGAAGAAACCTCCTGGTTTCTTTCACATTACACCTTTACAGGGCGAGTGTCGGGGTTGGATGCGTTCGGTTATTGCACAGATACCCTCGCTCGCCCGTCCGAACCACGGAGACGAAGCACACCGAGTAAACCAGGGTCGTGGATATAACAACCCCCTAAGCAATGAGTCAGACTTCAGTCAGAGGCAAAACTTAATATTAAAATATAAGCGGAGCTAGAAAGCCCTATGGGGTAATTTTAATTTTTAAAACGCTTGATATTCGTAGAGCAGGTTAAAAATGAAAATCACCATAGGAAAACATTAATTAATTCAAATGAAATTTTCTATGCGCTACTCACACTTAGCTCCATGTCACATTCAGGATTTAACACAAGTCTCTCAGAGAGTGAAGTTGCCAATGCTTGCAGAAACTTCTCAAACGTCATCGAAAATACAGTACGAAACACCTGGCTCCCCACCTAGAGACTGCAGCTACAAGGGAGGCGGTGACACCAGCAAACCTCAAACATGACTGTAAATTTGGCTTTATAACCGGGGGCGGCATGTTTGCAGGCGTTGTGCAGTCAGCGACCTCGCGGCGTTGTGCTTACCTAACATGACCGAGAAGCCTCCACGCTGACTATGTGGTTTCTGCTTACACAGCTTTAAAGAAAACATACAGTTTAAGTATCTCAATATATAGAATTAAAAAAATTCTGTAATTTTTCACCTCAAGAAAAGAATCCATATAAAAAGAAACACCTTTAAAAAGATACACTGTCCACTATCCAGGCTACAAGGAAATACACATTTACTGCAGTACACCACGTGATTTGTTACGCTGTTCCCAACATATACACATACAACTCCATTTTAAAAGAGGCCACATACTAACTTTTCAGGCAAGTGCTGGACTTTAAAGACCTGTATGGCTTCTGTAAATATTTTCCTACAAAAAGGAAAAATAAAAACGTCCCCAAACTCAGGAGCACAAATGGATGTTGCTTCGTGCGGAGAATTTCACTGTGGAACACACTGCGGGCAGGGGAGCAAGGTGAAGCTACTCGCTTGTGTTCAGTCCCTGGACGGGGCTCTATGCCAGATCCCACCCAGCAGACCCAAACATTATCACGCTGGAATGCAATTGTTTCAGGAGATCAGTTCTAAGGATCACTTCTTTGAAAGAGTCCATAAAAATTTAGTATGCAACCTTTTAAAATGTACCTTTGTTTAGCTCTAAGGAGTCCAATCCTTCCCGCAGACAGCAGAAACAACGGTTTTGGTTGTAAGCTCTAGTTGTGCTTTGCCCTGCCGCCTCTCAGGTAGCTCTTCCACCTCTTGACGAACTCTTTGAAAATGGGGGACTCGTCTACGGTGCTGAGCAGCTGGAGCTGGTTTATGTGGGTGGTGTGATAGTCCCAGCGGGCCAAGTTGGGAGCAGTGCCGAGCATGAAGTGGCGAAGGTCGTAGATGGTTCCTGAGCCGGTGTCGTAGAGGGGAAGCATGGCCTTCAGCGACTCCATGCCCCGCTCGTAGAGAAGCCTTGCCTCCTTCCCCAGCTTCTCCCCCGCGGTTTCCTTCAAGTCGTAGAGCCCAATTAAAGAGTACATGAAGCCATTGAGAACGAAGGAGCTGGGAGAGGTGGGGTACTCCTCGTACCAGTCGTGCCTGTTCATAAACACCGCCTTGACCCCGTGCTGCTCCGACGGCAGCTTGTAAGGTGCTGTTGCCCGTAAAGCTGAAGTGAGGAATACGTGGTCCTTCGTCAGCAGGTAGGCCCTGACGAGCGTGGAGATGGCCTGCCCTTGTGCCATGGCAGAATACCAGCCCGGGTCCAGAGATTTAAAGCCTTCCCCCAGCTTCCGTGTCACCATGATGGGCCAGCCCCCCTTCTCGTCCTGGTTCCTCACCAGCCAACTGCTGGCAGCAAAAAAGGCTGCCATGTGAGCCGTGGCCGAGATAGTGATGTTGTCGATGAAGCCCTTCCCCTTCGCTACCAGCCTAACCACTTTCTTGGGCATTATTTTTGTCTGCTTTACAGCTTTTGTGTTTGAGAGACCAACACCCTTTCGCAGGTCAGTCACCAGGTCTCTTGTGACTGTACTCCAACTAGTCCTAGGCCCAATGCCATAGTAGACATCTCTGTCCTTAAAAGCTATCAGCTGAGTGTTCGAGACATAGTGTACTGTGAAGAGCTGGTTTTTCTCTGTCGTCTCGAGAACCACAGAAACGCTCCCATTTGTCATGAATTTGAGATCGAAAGAAATGATAAAATCTTTAGTGTTCCCAAGCTGCAGAGATACCCCTTCGGTATTTTCTGGAAAATAAACAAATAAAAACACCTTGTTAAGTGGTAAAGCACTTGTTTGTTTTGTTGTTGTTGTTGTTTTTTTAAACGCTTAAAGATGTGGAGCCTAACTACCAGAGGTAACCACATGGTCAGACAAAATCCAAACGCTTCTAGGTTAGCCAGTAAAAAATTCAAGCATTCTCTCCTTTTCCCATACACTATTATGTATTATCTAACCATAAAACCACATCAGTGAGTGAAGGCTGACTCTCGTGGGACCAGGAAGAACCCTTTCGCATCTCACACGGACATGCTGCTTCCCCTGGGAGAGGGGACGCCAGGCCATCGACGAATTGCTTTAGCAGACTCTTCTGATAACAGACAACAGAGCGCAACAGCAACCAGAGGAATTTGAGGGAAAGGAAAGCTGGCAGGAGACAAAAGGACCAAGATGCAAAAGAGGGTAAGGTGGTTGTTGCCATGAGCTTCGGACATCTTTGGAAGCCCTACGGTAATCACAGCACGGAGGAACGGGAGCCGCTGAGAGCGCCGGCTGTGTCCAGCGCTGAGAAGACTAACGGGGGATCTCACTGCTGTCCTCAGCTGCCTCCTGGGGACAAGGCGGCGTGGGCAGAGCCAGACTCTTCTTGGAGGTGCTCAGGGATGGGGCACAGCACACAACTTACAAAAATGAAAACCCCAGTTAGACATTAGAGGGGGAGGGAGAAAAAAATCCCAATAAGGGTAGTCAAACATGGTGGCATCTCCATCCTTGCAGATGCTCAAAATTCAGCCGAGCAAGGCCTCGAGCAGCCCATGTCGAAGCTGGGCCTGCCCTGGGTGGAGGTGGCACTCGCCTGCCGGATGTCCCCCCCCAGCCAAAGGATTCTGCAGGTCAACACCAGCTACCCCCCTGCAATACACATTGTGTTTTAAACCGTTTAGCAATAAAACTATAAACTATGGTTTTTCAGTGATAAATATGGCTAGCTTGGGTACATTATAATCTTCAGAAACATGGTCAGAAAAACATCTTAACATTTCACTTGAGCTTTCGATAGAAAGACAAGTGGGTGCAGAGAACAAGTTTGGCACTTTGCCCTTACTTATTACAGAATCGCTAGACAACTCGAGCTGGCGTTTCACCGAGCCCCCAGGCTGCTCCTTGCCTGCTCTTATTTTACCAGCTTGAATGCCCAACGAGTGGCAGCTCGCTGTCAGTATCGGTGCAAAGTCTCAGCGCAGGGTATTTCACAGGCATACCTGGAGGCCTGCCGGCGCCCACGTTACCACCCGTGATGCACACGAGGGGAACCCGTGTGGCTTTCTTTTTCTGTAGTTTAGAATAGAAAAGCACCCTCACCCTTTTGTTCCAAACTGAAAATTTAATTTGACAGAAAAAAACAACACAGTGCCACTTTAGCAGTCACATTTCTAAATAAAGCTGCGCTTTAAGCAAAAGAGCGAGGAGTGCTAAGAAACAAGTACTCAGAAAACCACTGGGACTAATATTTAAATCTATTACTTTTTATTTCCCAACCTGACAGTTCTAAAAACCCCAGTTCACTGAGTAGTTTAATGGAGGGAGGAAAAAAAAAAAAGAATACAGAAGGACTAACATGTTAAAGTATTTATTAACCTCTCCACGGGCAAAATTCAGTTTGTTTAATTAAAAAAAATTAAATAAAGCTCCTAGGCACTACCACATAATAAAATCCAGTGTTCTCTCTCAGGCTAGATTTAAAAACGTAAAATCAACTCCTCCCCCAAAAACCCTATACTAGAAGATCAAAGGGCTAATTAGTTTGTAAGGCTGTGTGCAAATCCTGTAGCTTTGAAGGCACAGAGGGATGATAAACATTTAAAGATAGTCATTTTAAATTAACAGCTTTTCACAGAATAAAATTCTCCTGTGTGAGACGATTGTTTCCTTGCTGCTATTTCTTGATGTGTGAAAAATCCCATAAATATTTCTATGGGCACCACATGAGTTATGGTCAGCTTCCCCCGAATAGCAGAGGCTTTTCCCCGTCTCCCAGACTAATCTGTTACATTTCGCATCAAGACCATTTCCATGTTTTCCATTGTAAAAGTCTATTCTGCTGTACCCATTATTTTGACGAAATGTCACATTTTCAAATCTTTTAAAGTAAAAGCTTCGACTCCTTTGAGTTTCGGAGACGAGTATCTGCTTCCGGAGAAGCAGCAGAGTGCCTTGCTACCCAACACTTGCTTCTATGAAAAGTCTAATTAAAAATCCACACTCAAAATTCCTGTCAAATAAGTTTTACACTTTCTTGTAAATAAATGCTTATATGATAACAAAGTGAACTATATTAGAGAAAAAAGCTTTAAGGACCAGAAGAAAACTAAAGGCTGCCTGTTGTTTGCACCGCCTTAAGCACCTATAAATCCATTACTTAAGGCCATCTAAGACAAGTGGATGCATACTGCGGCCTTCAAGCTCTGAAGATTACTCTGCCATCAATAAAGGATGAGGAGAGAATACATAACAGATCTTTTAGCCTTTCCTCTCCCTGTATTTATCTATTACAAAGACACAAGAGCGTTCGACATTTTTTTCCCTAGAGGCCCAGGCCTAAGGTGCCAACTGAAAATTACTTCATTGTCTTTTTAAGTAATGGACTCATTAATTCTAATGGGTATTGATTGAGGAAAAATACATTACGTCCTTATTAATGAGTCTGTCCTAGCACAAAGGAAACTCTTGCATGAAATAATGAATTTCTCAAAATAAACCTCTGGTAAGTATGAAACAGAATACGGTAAACGCTAGAGACAGCAACAAAACGTATCTTACACGTCTACAAGTGAAGAGAGGCGGTAGGTAGCCCTAGATCTTCAGTAGTACATTTGCAGTTGCTCCATCTTGTTTAAGGCACCTTGGGTTAATCAAAACTGAGATCTACATGGTTTGCAAAAATAGTTTTGCCCCAATAAAAAGAGACTGGGGTGTCCAACCTAATAGTCACACATTTACTCAAGGCTGAAAACGGAGACGGTTATATTTATACCACATCAGCAGTATTTCCCACGCTTCAGAACTGGTTAAAGTTTTTTTTTTGCTTCTATTTTGAGATAGATGCTAAAAGGCTCAGGAAACGCAACTGTTTCTCTGTTGAATTGCATTGTCCTCCACATACATGTATGTGCATCTGCCTTTCCCATTAAAATAGCGATGTTTTAAAAACATAGTGATTGAGAAGCAATAGAAGAAAAGAAAAACTTCAGGAGTACTGCAATCAGATGACATTCTCAGGTGAGATCTCAAGGATGAGAAGTCACTCAGGAAAAACGAACACACATTAATCCCGGGAAGTTAAAGCTCTGCTGGTACCATCTGGGCAAATTAACAAAAATGGCTTAGCAGCTATGTATTTACAATAACCCACCTGGAGTGACAAACTGTTTAACGCTAGTGAACTTGGATTTATCATATACTGTGGCAACAGAACAGCCTTTTGGTACAGTCCAGTCCACGGACCTGCCGGTTTTGTCCTTGTCTTCAGCTGTTTCGTATACCTCTATATGTGGTGGTTTCTCAGTCAGGTTTTTACTGTAGTGACTTAACCCATACTGTGCAATCTGGATTGGGTAGAAATAGCCTTGAGGTCCCCACTGTGTGGATAACGGTACACCTACAAGAGAAGGGGCAGAAAAAAAAAATGAGTATTTTATCAGAACGCTTAAAACAAAAAATAGTGTTTGCAGCACTGCGCTCTTCCTTCTCCATAGCCCAGTCACTGCTTTGCTTCTGGCAAACTGCATTTTTGTAGGCTTCGCCATCAGTTAAACTCAAAGAACGTCCCGTTCAAAGTATGAATTGCTCTCATTTACACTAAGGTCTCTGACCAGCCCAAACTGAGCAGATGTGAATGGCAGAGAAGTCCTTATCATGGCCTTCCATCCATACCCATTCAATTGTTTGCTGAAGCATCACACTTATTTTAAAATATATTTAAAATGCCTTAACAGATTCTCCCCCCTACCCTGGAGACCACTAAATCTCCAAATGATGTTACAGCTAACGCAATCCCTTTAACGCCACACAAATCTTTGTAAATTAAGTGCATATGTTATTACTAGATTTTGTCTAGAGTTATTTGATGCTAAAGCAGCAATTTACCCAGCATCCACAAATCTGCTCCAATTGCCTCGGCTCCCTAAGAGCACAAGCGCACTCTGAAACAACGCCCGTGCAGACAAGCCGGGCGCTCCACCAACGCGGCACAACGCGCACCGACCCCTCTGCCCGTAGCTCCCAGGTGTCCTCGGAGCCACTGCTTTAGGCCACCTGTCCCTGGGATTAATCCTCTGCAGATGAGTCCCTGTTCCAGAAGCTAGCAGCCTGTAAGAAAAGCACATCTTCCTACTCTTATTTTAGGGTTAGAGTTATTTAAAGTCTGCACCCACCAAAAGAAGTCTCTGGAGAACGATCCTTACACCGGATTCAAACTAGGAAGGTCACAGTGTCTTCTGTAGCCTGAAAGCATTTCACATGCAAAACTCGTCGTATGAGCTCAGATAATGTCACACAGCCATACTCAACATAAAACTTCCAACTTTCATTATGATAAATAGGAAAGATGCACCCAAAGAAAATCTTCCCGAGTTCCAGCCTCTCTCCTGCCTTCTCCTCAAGCTCTCCCAGCAGGTACAACCTCAGTTTTTCAGTTAAAAACCCAGCAACCTGCATATTGCATCAATGGCTGTTGTAGGAATACAAAATACACGGAAGAGACTTTTTCAAACAAAAGTCATACCTCCAAAAACAAGCAAACACACAATACTTAAGATATGGATGAAAATAGGATTCTCCTCACAACCTAGATTTTATTTGGAACAAATTCCCAACCTCTAAGTGTGAATCCAAAGTGAAAAATATAGCATCATGACCCTCTTGCAGGAAATCAAGGATATTTTGTACTGTAAATCTTTGTATAAGGAAAGAAAAATGAACATGAAAATAAACAAGTTAGCATTTGCTCCATTTTCCCCTTTGGCAATGTCAAGCTCAGAAACCAATTTTGCCTGAAACCTGGTGTAATGAAAAGATTAAACTAAATATGAAAAGATAAGTTTTCATACATATTTCTGTGCTTCATGTTACTAATAAATATTACTGATGGAGATGTGACGGTTTTCTGAAGAGAAAACCATCACGTGAAATATTTAAGCATCATGTATCATCTCAACTCCTGGAAGCCACCTCTCTCATTAATGCTAAGCATTCTCAGTTAAGAGCGCACACACTGAGACCGAAAGACGAAAAAAAATTTGCTTTAAGAGCTTTACTTGAAATGTATACCAGAGGACAAGATTAAATTCTCCAGGTCATAAGACATAACAGAACACATCAACCGTGCAGAAAGAGGGGTAAAAACGTAACATGAGATTTTTCATCACGTTACAATATGAGACTCTCTAAGACTAGAATGATGCAAGGTAGGAGTCTAAAACTTTTTGAGAACGTGTTTTAGTATTAAAACTCCTTTCCCACGAACTAGAACTATCTCACTTCTCAGATCTGTTTACAAGATGCCAATAATTCTATTGCCTTTACAATACCCAGGCTCTGGCATCGCATTTCACAATGACAGCTCTTCAATCACATGTTGCAAAAAAGTCCGGTTTACAGATAAATAACGAAGTTGTCAAGCGTTCAACTCGCTTGTTTCTTGAGGCTTAAGTATATAGCAGTTAAACGCAGTATATACCAGTCAGCAGCTTACACGTTTTGCAAGCCAAAAGGCTGCAGAATGGATTCTGATTCCAAATTATTTCATACTAAATTTAGGTTTTTTGCTCAAAAATGTCACAAGTATTGCAAAGAGTGCAGTTGCAAGAGACAGTCCACATATCTTCCACGTCCAACACCAACGCTGACGGTGCTTCAAGACCTAAGTCCAACTCTTCCCCCGCCCCCCAGAAAAAAAAACCAAAAAACCCACCTGATAACAACAAAATAGGTACCCCATAGCTATTTTAAACATTCACAAGTCATAGTTAATCAGCAATGACTCCAGCAGTCTCCTCAGCCCCTCACAGAAGAACAGTGGATCCAGCCCTGAGCGAGAGGGCACTCGCGCTTGGTGCGACTGTGCCTCCTAAGAGGTATTTGCGCCTTTGGGAGAGCCACGAGTTTAAGAACTCCAGTTCCCTTCTCTGGGGGATGTCACGTCACCAAGCTGACGGACGTCCTACAAGGAAGCTAATTCGGAAGCATCAATACAAAACGCTGAAAAAACGTACTATGGTGGAGCTTTTTGAAAACAAGCGGAGGTAGGCCTCAGAGCCTGAGGTAAGGAGCCAGCCTTTTTAATACCCTAATTTAATCATCACAGTATATCACATCCACCAAGATTATTAGTGAATGATCAGCTTCCTTTCTTCAAGATGCATTTGAAATTCAAATGAAGAATCTTGAATGAGAAGCACTCATTTGGGTGATGCACAAGTTAAAAAACAAAAAAGGTAATGAGAAACCTTAAAAAAAAGGGAGGGGGATTGACATACCCTATGCATTTATGCGAATCCTTTATAGACAAACTAATTGCATAACGTATCAGCTTGCTGAAGCAGCCATATGATATGGTTGCTTTCCACGATACCAACATTGCAGAGTATCACCAACCACTGAGATGCATGAAGATTAGTGTATTTTATTCCTTAAATGCAAGTTACTCTTTAATTTATAAGAGTCAGTGTCACATTCTATAATAGTTTTATAAAGTCATTAATTTTTTAATATGAAGCCCAACAAGAATTTTCTGCTATTAAATCTCTGCTAAGAAGTGGAAAGACCTCATGTAATAATTACTGATTGCAGTTTAGCAAAAATGCAAATTCGAAAGGTCTTACCGTACTTTAATTTTACTCAGGGACTGATGAGATGACGCTTCAGTGGCTTAAGTGCCTTTGAACCCTTAAACAACTCTCTGACATCTACTCACATCGTACCGAGCGGCACAACGTTGCACAGAACAACGCGAGGAAACAATCTGCCCTCGTCTGCAGCAGGACAACAGCCCAGTTATTCTGCCCAGAACTTGCACCGGGCCCAGCTGGTCTGGGCAACAGCTAATCCCACACCGTGGTATTGAGCAAAACATTCATCACTCGCTCTAGAATAAGCCAAAGTGGAAGGTTGCGATAACTCCTGCGCCTCCCAGCAAAATAAGGGCACAGTACATTGTTAAACGCGCTGTGGGCGCCGAGGACAAAAACCCAAACATTAAACAGCAGCCGAGCAGAGCGGCTGTCTCACCGCTCACCCTAGGATCGTAATCTGTGCCCGCAGGGACGTGAGAGCCTTTTTAGAAAGCAGAGCCAAAATTTATTTTATTTTATTTTTTTTTTTAAGAAAGCATTTTGGCTCCCTTACAGATATGACGAGCGTCAGTGACAAAGCCTAAAGGTGACAGCGGCGCTGCCAGGAGCGCTGCAGCCCCTGGCACCAGAGATGCAGGCAGGCAGCGGGCAGAAGAGCAACGCGCCGTACAACGCTGAGACTCGCTCGCCATCCCTCAGACCATCACGACAAAATTAAAGACGTTTTGCCTCTCAAACGATGACAGCAAATCTTAAGCAGCATTTCGATTATGAAGAAACATTTAACACAAACCTTCGACGCCGCTTATGCATTTCACTCGGTCTCGAACTTCTACGTTGTAGCCTTCGAAGGACATGAACACCCCGTCCGGGTGGTAAGGTGCTCTCTGTGTGTAAACTTTGGAGTAGCTATGAGAGAATTCAAATCTGTCATAGCCATCGTACTGAGCAATTTTCCCATACACCTCAAAGTATTTCTCTACCCAGCTGAAGGGCAGGAAGATCTCGTTGCCTTCCCTCCTGCCTTTAATCGTGTGTTCGTCGTTGATCAGACAGTCAATCTCTTCGTATTTGAGTCCCAGAACTTTGTTGCCGTTGAAGCCGCCCACCACCGGCGGAGCTTTCTGCTGCTCCTGCGGCGATGCCTCCTCGCTCTGCTGCCGCGCCGGGTCGTTGGCGTAGGGGTTGCTCTCGGACGCGGCGGCTCGCTTCTCGGCGCCCTCGCCTCGGCCGCCGAGGCTCCGCGGGAACTGCCCCGCTCTCTCGGTGGAGCATTTATTCCACAGCAGCACCGTGACCAGCGTGAAGAGGGCGCAGATGATGATCAGAGTCTTGTAGTTGACCCGAGCTGCCAAGCAACGCATATTCACACCATACCTACAAAGATTAAAAAAAAGAGGAAAGCATCTTCAAACAACAGCGCTGGGCAGCTTTAAAGCAAGAACTGTCAGTTCTGCTAATTAAAAACACAGCTAGGATCCGTTTCAATTTCAGGTACTGCCACGGGCACGGTACCGGCTATGCTGTGGGAAGGGATCGGGTGCAGGCACCTAGGAGAGGACGCTTTTTTTTTTGGCCAACCCTCCCTTCTCCTTCATTCTTCCTTCTCCAAAACTCGACAAGATCACACATCCCAACCAACGACTCATCTCCGAAGCACTAGGCTGCGACAACACGGCAGCGCGTTAAGACCGTTTTGTGAAACGTAAAGGACAGATCAGAAACAGCAGTAATTGCAGGGCAACTTCCCGCTAAATAAAGAGCTCTAAGCTGAAAAACCGCGCGGCAGCTACCAGGGAATCGGCAAAGGCTCTCTCACAGCAACCGCCAGACACGAGCGAGGGCAAAAAACCCACTCGCGGGCACGCGTCCAGCACGGCGAGCGCTCTTCAGCGCGACGGCCCGATAATCAACACCTGAAGTTTAGAGACATCAATAATTCACATAGCTGCAATTACTTAGATATCTATATAACAAGAGAGATATATTCATATGTACGCATATATATACACACACCCACACAAAGATATCTATATCTATATAGATATATATAAAGCCCACCTGCAAGCTCTAAATTTTTTCTGATATGAAATTAACACTCAAACCTGGATCAATTCGTGACGGTCCAACACCTCAAAGGCACTTTTGAAAAATAACGTTTATGAACAGGAGCAAGCAGGATGCTAACCGAGGAACATGCAGTGCTTTTAACTGCAGCTCTGTCCAAGCCCGACCTCTCCCTGGGACAAACGCCAGGGAAGTCTCGTTAAAGCTTCTTTAAAAAACTAAGGACAGACTGGGAAAATATCAGGCTGTCCCAAGGGACAAGACTGCTGCTGAAGGGCTCCGGGGCTCAGATTTCCCGCTTCACAAGGAGAAGGCAGAAACAACATAAACCTTCTCTCAGGATTTTGTTTTTGCCAGATAAAACTCATTTGGCGAGAAACATACTCAAACACCAGTTTTACATCCGCAGAGAGAACTGAGGCTGAGCAACACGCTGCTCCGTCACTGACGGGGAGGTGAGGAAAGCGCATTCACACAAAGGACTCTGCTTCCGCTGAGGAATGAAGACTTCCAAAGACATGACAGATGCGTTTTTCAAAAACGCAGGAATATTTAAGACGTACTTCACAAAATCCTCATTAAAAGGAAGTTTAATTTTGCCTCCCTGCTAAGCTCAAGCCACTGCGCTGTCAGAGCCACCGAGCTGCGTTTTGAACCCGGGGCTCAGTTCGAGCCAAACGTGACATC